TAATAGAACAGGTCGTGTTGTACAAGGGATGCAGGACGACTTGAAGCGCCTGATGACAACAATGCAACGGCATCACTTGTCAACCACCCCAGAAGTACAGACAAAAGTGATCACACCTGCAAAATGACAAAAAGTAGAATAGTGAACATGATGCAATAGGATTTCTCACTTACATGTACACGTACAACCCAGTCCCTTGATATTGGCATATGTCGACGAGAGTATCGCAGTTGTTCAAATACTTGTGTGATGGGAAGTCACATATAGACCATGTTTGTTCATACATACTGCGTAATGTACTTTTCAGGTAGGAGTAATTCTGCACAATTTTGACGATATATTCAGAACCCACCTGTGGATTACTTTCTGCTTGTCCAGTCCTTTGTTTGTGGTTGATAGGGATAATGCCATGGAAGTGGATCTGGGGTCTGTCTTATAGCAGAGTAGGTCTACAGTGCTATACATCAGTTGTACATGTGTAGGAACATTGGAGATAAACAGAAGGAATATATTATTACTAATATTAGCATCCAAATACAAACCAGAAGATTTGTGGTCCTCACATTCAATATCCATGTTGCCTAGTAATTACTTGTAGGCCTACTATTTACTAAAGCCCACGTATTAATTATTGTAACACTTAATGATTTAGAATACATGTATGTGTGGTTGCACGTGCGTAACAAAATTCATTTGTAATGCACGTACATGTACATGTACTCTATACATGTACATGTACGTGCATTACAAATGAATGTACTGTGTATAAGGTGTACAATGTACTGTACATGTACGTGTTTGTGCACGCGCATGTGCACGAGATTTTTCCATGATGTGCTGAAAAAGGCAAAATACAATCGAAAATATCACAAAACATCCCGCTGTCTTTTACCTTCTTTCATTCTGATCGTACTTCAATACATCTTCTTCATAGGGATGCCTTGTGATTTTATGAAAGAAAACTCTGGTTTTCAAGAAAAAACTCATTTTGTCGGAGCGATCATTACTCCCTGGGTTGGCTGAATACGACGCTCCTCGACCACAGTCCACACATTTCCCGACGAATCAAAATTTAGCTTTAGGCAAAAATAATCCCGTCTAATGACAAAAACTTGGTTTTTGAGGTCCAAATCAAGAATTTAATATTTTATACTTTTTACAAATATTTCAATAAAGGGTAAAAATTAAGGTGATGCAAAGATGTGCAAATGAGAAATTAAAATTTCCGAACGTAGACATAGACTAGCCTAGTCGCTCGTGCAGTTAGCGCAATTTTTCACTGGACAAAGCGCAGACACTGAGGGCGCACACTTTTTCTTTCCTTGGGACGGCCGTGTGTCCGAACGAAACCTCAGATCGTGCATTGCAATCGGCTCAAGCGCTACCTGGGCAACGTGCAGCTCGGATGGTGGGAGCGCGCGGCATGCAGAGCCCTGGCCGAGGAGGCACCCGCTCAGGCAGGAGGGTAAGGAGCAAGTGGACCCAGCCCCTTGGTCCTGCCCACGGGGGCCGTCTCCTGTTGACGAAGGGACCGCAATGGAACCTGTTGACAGGGTGAAGTCGGGACACCAGGGCCGGAGCGAGGGCGTGTCAAGCGGGGAGAACTCAGACACAGGCAGCCAGGAAGGCAGCGCGCCGGCGCCAGTGGTGGTTGGAGGTAGCCCCCGCTCACCTGGGTCACCACGGCCAATTCTGGACCTGGGTGGCTCACACTTATGAAGTCCAAGGCCTGATGCTGTACACCTTCGGCGCTGAGCTGCATGTTCAATACGGTGTCGACGCCGACTACCAGGGAAGCCGTCCCTGGGGGGCTTATTACCCCGGGAGCACTGCCTCCAACCCGGTACCCAGGAAAAGTCCTCAAGCAGTTCTGGGACCAGCTGTTCCGGCGGCCGGAGATCCTTTAGGAGCCCTCTCCACTGCCCACTGGAGTCCGCCAGGCAACGCCGGGGGGCATCATGGCGACCCCTGGACCCCCCCCCCCCGTGGTAACGGAGTTGACCCATGGAACCCACCAGACTTGTACTTGTTGCTTTGTTATTCCACTGCCTTGGAAGCTGCGCAGGGGTGACTGGGACGGCTGGCTTCGGGCTGGCCCGCCGAGTTCGGGGACGAAAAAAATTGCTCGGAGGGGCAGGTGTAGCGCCGGCGGGTTCGGTCGGGGGGGGCGCCAGCTCAGACCCGCATGGAGCTAGCTTGATGCCCCGCTGGTATGCGAACGGCCTGCGGTATTCCAGACTAGCGCCTTTGCAGTCCCTGCAGACAGCTCGTGTCTGGAGATTGTGTTCGTAAAACAGTTTTTTTGACGTCAGGACAATAAACAGAGCATTCTTGCCCGGAACGGCGGTTTGTGTTCTTGACAGCGTCAGAGCCCAATAAGCAGGACACGCTGAAATATTATTACCGGTCAGTGACAAGCATGGTACTAACAAGCATGATGACGAGTTGTGAACGGAACGTCAAAAGGTCTACAGTACTTTCTGGGCGTGCACTGCCTGTCACCATAATGTGGGCCTACGTTGTACATGCACACGTGGCATATTTGAATGCATCGATTACAAAGAATGCCAAGATGTCGCCAATGTGTCGATTGCACAAAATGTACCATCGCATTGTTTTGACTGTATAGCCTGTGAATCTGGCAATAGTTTGTTTAGATTGTTTAAATTGTATCAAATGAAAAGAGAAGGCGATCATCTGCCCTTCGATCCCAAAAGTAAGTTTGATTTCAATTTATACAATCTCGGCTTAATTATTGAATACGAAACCGATTTAGACATGAGTCAATATTGAAATACAGCTCATTTAATTGATCTAGGCGATTAATTTGGAAAAATGGAAAAAAAAATTCTAGACTAGAAGAACCATGTCAAACCAATCTTACATCGTAACTGACGACTACAAACGTCTCAATGCTAACAACACAGACCCAAAAGTTGTGTATGGACCCTTTGATTCCAACAGGCTCATTATATCCGACCCCATCGTTAAACCCAGTCTATAAATTTGGTATCAAAGAAACAACCGCAGAAAATATCGTAGGTCATTAAATCTGCCGTGAACTTCAAGGGTTTATGGCAGACATACTAGATCACATAAACTTTGAGACTTACAAATACATTGGCACGCAAACGGCTATTTCTTATATTCCATTGTGTACAATTAATGCTTACAAAGTCAGCCGTGATGTAGACGATGCAGAAAAAGTTAAATAGGCGGTTAAACCGCCTTACACGGACAAAAATAGAATGTATGTCAAAGTAGTTCCATTTGCTTTGTTAATTGGTAAGTAAAGAAAACAACTCACATCACTGGAAAAAGACAAGCATGTAAACAAACGTTGTGATGCTCAATCTTTGATTTACCCAAAAGACGTATACTACACATGGCACACATGGATCAATGTCTTGCGGGGCTAGCGTTCGATATAAAGTTGTCGCGGCAATGTTGGAAATTAGGGACGACAGTTTAATTTCAGAACAATCAATTTGCAGGCATTTGACGCATTAACAGTACAACTAGAGATTGATTAAGCTATTTGAAAGACTAAATAACTTTGTTTACCATGGAAAACAAAGTTATTTATTTTAAAAGAAATAATTGTATTTATATAAATAGTGACAGACGAGATTTGTAAATTACTTGGTAGAAACCTTTTTCACCAACTGTGGAACCTCCAGATAATTTTCCACACGTCAATAAAAGAATAGAGGACTGATTTGTCTATTGTCATGATTGTTTTAAAATATTAGCCCCTTACACAGATTTTAAAGGAGAAAATGTAGGTGGCAAATATAATCAGCGTTTTATTTATAAAAAGCCAAAATCTAAAACCGACAAAATATTTAAACTAAATATTCACTTATCAAAAGAACAGGCAAAGCTCGTAGAATACAAGCAAAATCACGTTTTTACGAATCAAGATCTCAAGGGGACGACCGCTTAGAGCATTGACGGAAGTGTGTTATCAACACGTAATGCAAGTCTCAGAAGATCAAATCAAAAGTCTGTTTCAAATCTCGGACAAACACTTTAACGATGCCGTCAATAAATTTAATGGAAACACGTTCTTTTTATTTTACCAAACATCCACAGGCGTTTAAATTATAAAATACCTTCGATAATTTGCAAGGCAATGAAAAGATTAAAGTCAGAAAAGTAAGCTTTCACCAAGGATATTTGACAATTACAAAATGTACCAAAATCGAATGGCAAACTCAAGTCGAAGGAAGTCCCGCAGAAAGGAGACCCAAAGCAAAGATACCAATACCAGCAGCTGATTTATTTATACCAGATTCAACAATCAACAAGGACGTTGAAGAAGCGCTTGAACTTGCAATACCGTCCTCAGAATTAGGGACAGACACTGTAGTTTTATGTTATGACGTAATAAGAGATTATATTCGAGCTTATGAAGCTGGAAAAATTTAGAAGATTTGAGCGTCTCATTTGTTGAAAAAATAACTAACCTTAACAATCAAATAAACACGTTTGGAAAGCAACGTATAAGATTAATTGCAATATCAGCCGAGGCATCGGATAAATGATATTTGGAAAATATAGATGAGGGCAAAGTCTCCATCCTCGGTTTTTCTTGATCTAAGTGCCGCTTTCGATACGCTTGATCATGACATTTTGCTTCATCGATTAAGGACACATGTTGGAGTCTCACAAAATACCTTTGACTTGTTTTCTTCTTACCTAAGAGACTGTTAAGAAAGAGTTCAGATTCGGTCTTTATCGCCTGGTGGTCGGAGTAGATTGGATGTCATAACCATGAGTGATGCCTATACACTTAAGTACGGTGTCCCTCAGGGCTCTATACTCGGACCACTTTTATTCAATGTGTATATGTTGCCATTAGGGGATGTCATTAGGCATAATGGATTGAGTTGTCATTTTTAAGCAGTTGTATTTGTCAGCTCAGCTAGCTGCCGGTGACATACAGCAACAAGTGTCGGTTTTGGAAAAATGCTGTGACGACATCAGATGCTGGATGGCGATTATTTTTTGAAGCTAAATAATGATAAAACAGATCTGCTTTATCACTGGATCGCATATGTCGTTGAGCAGAATTCCCAGGACTGTTGTGAATATAAGTAATCGCAATATTGCCGCACTCTCTGAAGCCAAGAGTCTGGGTGTGATTTTTGACAACAACATGAATATGCAATCCCACATCAAGAATGTCTCTCGCACTGCAATGTATCACCCGTACAATATAAGCAAAATTAAGAGTTATTTGGGTCAGTCAGCCTCGGAGCAGATTATTCATGCGACGAATCTGACACGCGCAAAACTAGTTACAAAAAGATCAAACGACTATTGACCGCGCCCGGTTATGTGGAATCTGGAGTCGAAGCAGCGTGTCAGCGCCCATCGGGAAAGTTGTGGAAGGCATTGCCATTGGTGCATTTTGAGCATACGCTTTGCTAAATTACGCCAGTCGCTTTGTGACGCTAAGCTAAATACCATCGAGAAAAACGTCTCTCACGCTTTTGAGGACGGCAATATATCCCAGGAAGAATTTGTATTAATTTTATCCGAACTGAAAAAAAATTTCAAGCCATAAAGATAAGATCCAAGACAAGTATTAAGCTTGTCCAAGGATCTAAGATGGACAAGGGAGAATTTGACCGCCAAGTGCAAGAGCAGAAGCGCTTGCCAATGAACGGGCAGCTGATTTGAATAAAATGACCTTATGAAAAAACTTTGCAAATAACTTTGTCAAAGTCTGTCAAGTATGAGCAACAGCCTCGTGCCTACTCTTCGGCGCCTCTTCTGTAAAACGCTTTTTATATCAGCTTATTATAAGGTAAAAGATGGGCCACAACTTTAGTCATTTAGCAAGCGTGGTAAATAAAGACAACTGGTTTATGTTTATAGTTAACTATTGGCAATTTATAATATATAATACATTATAAATATATTTATTGATTATAATTTATATTTTTATTTACATTAAAAACCGTGGAACTGGCGGCCTTGTATTAACAACTAATTTACTAAATTTAAAATTTCGTAAATGCTGTTTTGATTGATCACGTTTTTCGTCTGGTACAACGTCCTTTTCGTCCAACATTTGTTCAAAAGACGACTTATCTTTACAATAGAAAATTGCTTACCACGCTGTATTTCTTCTGTTATCTTTCAAAACGGCATTATACATTTGCGTCAATAACCAACACGTGCGTTAATAATGCTTGCCACTGAACGCCATCCTACTTGGAGAGCAAGTGTTGCTCCCCTTTGATCTCTTG